AAAAAAAAAAAAAAAAAAACAGTAATGATAAAGGTGATAATGACGACGACGATCAACCAAAAAACAACTTCTAGACGCAAAGCTGAACATCACATTTTCTGAATTTACACCTACCAACCGATAACGCCTTTCCTTAGCAGCTACTGGTTGCCAACATCTCGTCAGATTCACTACTGCTGCTGCTGCTCCTGCTACTACTACTAGTACTGCTATTCAACGTTGAGACCACTGGTGATGAATTCAAATTTCGGGGATTTTTACAAATTAAAAACGGTACGTAGAACATTTTGCTGTGCAACAGAACCGATGATGCGGAATGCAAAAATGGAAGCCTAAAATTTTTATCAAATTTATATTTTCTTCAATTCTTTCCAAGTTTTTCTCTTCTCTTTTTCGTATGATATTCAACCCATTGTTGTAAGGTTGCTTGATACGTGTTGCATCAGAAAACAAAAGAAACTTTAGTTTATCTATAATCAAGAAGAAAATGAATGTCATATTCATTGAAACTTTATCAAATAGACATTTTGCTAACCATGTAAGAATGTCGGTTAATCGAGCACCATTTTCATGCTGACTTAGATGAATCTGTAATGCTTTGACAAACTGATCCTGAATTTGTGAAACTTTACGAACATACGACATCTGCATTATTGATTCCTTTGAGCCCAATGTTACCGGATCTAAAATAGTAAAACTGCTTGATCTTGACTGCTGCTTTATTGCTTATAATTATTCTTATAGATATGCTTTTTGAATAAATCTACAGCTTAATGGTGGTGTCTCGAGAACACTTTGATATATATAAGCACAACTACATTAAGCTCATAAGCAGTCTCATTTAAATTATTTTTTTTTTATTCTTAACTGCACAAGAATGTATACGTTTAAAATTGTGTCTTATAAAAAAACTGCTCATTTTTTGACAATAAAATTGACCACAAAAGGTTTTTTAATGGTTTCAAAGTGTTGAAATCAAAATTTGCAGTCACTCATTTGAGACAGTTGTAAAATTATGATTTTAAAATATTAATTTTATTTGCTTATCAAAGTTAAGATTTTTTCTTTTGTCTGTAATTTTTAATACACGACACAATATCATAAACGAAGTAACGACAAATATTTTGCATATATTCTTAAAAATTTTTTCCTCTACTCTTTTTCTAACAGAAAAGAAAAAAAAAAGCAAAGCAAAAAAAAAAAAAACCAAAAATGGTAATTAAAAAAATATAAATTTACAGAAAAAACATCATTGATGAAGACTAATTTGCACTTAATTTTTAACTTCAATAATATAAAATTTGTGTTTTTTTTTTTTTCAAAAAACATTTAATCGTCTTTGGAATTATGACGGTTTAAAACATACTAAACGTCTTTTATTACAGTATAAAATCTATTTCTTATAAATAAAATGAATAAATAAACAAATTAAATAGACGAATATTTCAATAAATAAATGAAACTGTTTTACTGACCATAATTTGGAAGTGTATAATGCAGCAGAGTTATTGCTTTCAGACATACATAAGCTTCCAGTGTTATTTGTAGACGATTAAACGAATTCAACAATGCCGTAAACTTTTCGACAAGTGGCCCTGCTTCCCTGAAATTGTTGACTGACTTAACTGACACATATATCAGTTACCATTTATTAAAATATTTTAACAAAAATCAGTTCTTGTTGTTTCTAACTTACTTATAGACATGTTCCAGTGGAATATTTTTGCCCATAACAGCACTCAAACGTTTCTGTAACAGTTGTAGATTTATTGATGCATCAACAAACGATACTTCTTCATTACCCTCGACAGTTGTCGAAGATACTGACAATGTTTCGTTAATGGATGACGATGTTGATTTGGCATAAAAACACGCTGACAATAGTACCTATAAGACAACAAAAGTTACAGTTTAAAGATTGAATTTTTTTTTATGCAACTGTTACATTTGTAATGTCATCATTAAGTTTTAAGTATTTTTTTTGTTTTGTCTACGTAAGTTATAACTTTTCAGAATTGTTTTTGATAGAGAAACTAAAGAAAAGAAAGAAATAGAGATTTGAATAGAGTTAGTTTCATGGTGCAGATAGTATTTTTCATTATTTCTGAAAAATACAAAAGAAGAACTAAATAATAAAAGTTTTAAAAAAAATTAAAATCGTTGGTCTCGATTTACAACAGAAGAACGACGATTAAGCAAGTTAATAAGTTAAAGCCTGTACTAGTTCAGCCCATCGTTGTGTTAACAGATGAGTATGCACTTCAACAGGGAGATCTTGATAGAACGGAAGCATTTTTGTCCACTCGACCAGCTGCTCCAGAATCTCATCAGCGATACTAGACAACCGATGACACGCTGATATGCCACTATCACAATCAGCTTTATGCGATATCCGTAATCCTTTTAAGTTTATTAGACTATCTATTCGATCAATCTCAATCAATTCCTGTAATATAATTGCTGTTTGAACATTTACTTCAAAACTAAAAATACCTTTCTTTTTGTTTTTTTTTTATTTTTATATCTTGTCTGATTTATTAATCGTCATTTAACAAGCAGTTAATGTATCAAGTTATCAAACAACTAAATTGGAAAGTTCTTTTAGTACAGTCAATTATTATGATAATTGATGTGTAGAAAGTTTTTAAACAAAAAAAAAAAGCTTAATAATTTCTGCTGTTGTCATTGTTGATGTTATTATCTCAGACATTTTTAAACAGTATTAATAAGGAGAAAAAGTAATTAATGTTTGTGGGTGATGACTTTGATAAATTGTGTCAGATGATACGACGAAAAAAAAAAAAAACAAAACAAAAGAATATTCTCACTCTTT